TTGAGCAAAAATCTCCAATGATCACCTTTGTATCCAAGGGCTTTGAATCTTCTGAGGACAGATATTCTTGCTGCTGTCTTTCTCTTCTGGACCAATGTTGATCTCAGGTGCAAGTCCACAGCTGGCTGAACATGAGTGAGCTCAGGTGGCCAAGGCCAATGTCATCCTGGCCTAGATCAATAATAGTGTGGCCTGGATCAATAATAGTGTGGCCAGAGGGATCAGGGCAGTGATTGCCCTCCTGTAGTCAGCACTAGTGAGCCATACCTTGAATCTTGTGTTCAGTTCTGGGCCACTCACTGCAAGAAAGGTATTAAGATGCTGTAGTGATTCCAGAGACGGGCATGGAGCAGGTGAAGGGGCTGGAGCACAAGGAGCTCCTTGTAAGGAGCAGCTGAAGGAGCTGGGGGTGTTTAGCCTGGAGAGAAGGAGGCTCAGGGGTGATGTTATTGCTCTCTACAAGTACCTGAAAGGAGGCTGTAAAAGGTAGGGATCACCCTCTCAAGCAGCTAGTGACAGGAGAAGACTGGCTTCAAGTGTATCAGGTGAAGCTCAGGTTTGGCATCAGGAGAATTTGTTCACAGAAGGGTTGTCAAGCAGTGGAGCAGGTTTTGCAGGGAGGTGGTGGAGTCACCATGCCTGGGGAAGTTGGAGAAAAAACTGCACATGGTACTTAGTGCCATAGCCTAACTGACAAGGTGATGATGAAAGATTGGAGCCAACAACCTTAGAAGCCTTTTCCAACCTAAATGAGTCTGTGATTCTGCCACCTTCGTTGTTTTTCCTTAGCATATGCTCAGATGGCACAAACCAAACTTGTGCAATTATACATGCTTAAGACTGAGCTCTTAAACAAGGGTTACCTGCATGACCCAGGTTCAAATGTATTTCAGCTGGTTTACAACATGCGATTCCAACATTTTCAGTCATTGTAAGGATTATCTAATTATAACAGCAGTCCCACTTCCTTCACTGATATTGCTTATGAAGTAATAGGCAATTCAGAAGAAGAAAGGAGTGTATGATCTGACCCAGTGTATTCCAACATCTTGTAAGTTAAAAGAAAGTAATATGAGACAAAAAGGGTTTTAACAGAAAAGGAAATTAATGATCATGATGATAGTCCTGGCAGTTGGTCAGGGGAAGTTGAGAAGATAGAACTAGAAGTGTTATTTAAAGGGAAATGAGACTTTTTGGGGTTTTTTTGAGATAGACTGATATTAAAATAGTTATTGGGAAAAAATATGCAAAGAGTCTCAGATTGGGAATAAACATTTCTTTATTGTCAGGCTTGAATAGTGGAAGTGAAAAGAAACATACAAGGGGTGTTAAAAGGCATGCTCTTTTTGAAGGTAATGTGTAATAATGGGATTCTGCTATCCGTAATTCAGGAATGCTACTTTGTTAGAATGAAGCACGGCAAAATATACCTGCAAATACACTACCTAATACATTACACTTCTTTTAATAAATATTCATCCAGAAGCAAGGACACTAAATTTGTTCAATCTTACAACTCCTAGTTCCATATGTACTGTGGTTTGAACTTTGAAATTGCTCTTCCTGTGGCTAGCTCAGTGAGATAGAATACAGCATTAAGGAGGGTAGCTTTCATATTTCTTTTTCTTATTCCTAATAACTTTAGATACTTTAGAGTTAGATTAACTTGTCTTTTTTTTTTTTTTTTCCTGAAGACTAAGCAATTCAGTTTGCATATATGAACAGCATGAAGAAAAGGAGAGGAAGGGAAGGAAACAAAATACATTTTCAGGAGGGACTATGGGAGTTCTCATGAATGAAACAGATCATTGCTGTTCCTTGGATCATCACCAGAAATTTACATTTTTATTCCCATAAAGCAGGAGGTGTTTTGCAAGGCAGTGTAAGGTTTTCCTAGGGTGTTTTAATGCTTTTACATCTTTCTTTCTGCATCATATATGCTTAGTTGTTTAGGGACCTAGAACTGAGAGCCACAGAAGCAGAGGGGAAATACATGCTATTTATCTGACTTGCAGTCAGTTGGTAAAAGGTTTGGAACTGTTTCTATTATGAGTAGATTTGTGAGTCGGAGACTGGTTGAACCAGCATACATCTCTGTGAATTTTCTTGGGTAAAAAGAACCCAAACAAACAAACAAAAAAAGCTGTTTGCACTCATGGATGCTGCACAGAATCCTAAGACTCACAGAGGCATAAGACTGTAGTTGAAAGTATAAACCACACAATTTAGGCAAGTAGTTCAGGTGTTAAGCAACACTGAAATATCTTTAATATGACCAATTACTTTGTAGGTATCCAGAAAATTTCCAGAAATCAGTTCTGGAAACATGATAGAATTGTCATCAAAGAGTGCCAATGTTACTACTATAGGTAGTCATGTAAGAGCACTTGGCTACTGTAGCAAAAACCACAACTTTGGTGAACTTTTTATTCTAAAAACACAGAGTGATAAACAGGTGAAACTGCTAACGTTTTATCAGGCTTGACATGGAATTGTTGGTATTTATGTGGATTTCGTATAAAGTAAAAGGTCAAGACATACCTGAAACTGTTTCCTAACTGAAAATATTTGCCACTCGCAGTACGCCTGGCTCAACTTTCTGGCTGTGCTGAGAAATTCAAACATTTTTGTCACTCAGTTAAATCCTAGATACTACACTGAAGGAGAGGTTTTTGTGGGGGTTTATTTTGGTGAAAAGCCTTTGTAACACAGCAAAGCATTATATATTCTTATATTCTCAAGGTGACTTACACAACTTTTTTTCCTTTGTTTTGACCATAAGTGAAGAAATAAAATATTTTATGTGCCATTAGGGCTCAGTTTGGTCTAGACTGACCCTTATTCTACTCCCTCCAGAGTAAGACAAATTAAATGGAATGTGTTATAATTGCTCCAATAAGCCAAATATTCTGAGGACATATTCAAACCATCCAAGAACAACAGAAAGATGCATATGGCCATGTGAACTGTATTGCCTCTTATGTTTTGGATTATTAGCTGGAAAATTTGTTTTCCTCTTGAGCAGATTCCTGTGGAACATGCAGGGCTTGGACTTCCACCATGTAAGCAGTTAGAAAATATACAGTAGTTTTTTAATCTCTGGTACTAGATGCCTGTTCAGTACCTCAAATTTGAAGAAACTCAAACTTACAGCTCAAATATTTGACTCCTTCCAAAGGAAGCAGAATTTGCTATCTGAAGAGCTGGGAAGAATTCTGACTTCACTGAAGTCAGTGACAAACAGATATGTGCTTTGGCACCTAGAAATGACATGAGTTCTGTGTATAAACAGAAAAAATGTTGGTCTATGTGATAGTTATCCAGCCTTTCTTTAATTTGATGCTGCTACAATTTTCCTAAGTGAAGTGAAAAAAGAACCTAAACAAAGCAAAAACAAATTTCCCAGGCTTTGAAGCAGTTTTATGTAAGTAGTTATTTAATTTACAGTTATTACTACAATCTGATCAGCTAATTAATATTCTAAAAATTGCTGCCAAACAGCTGTCAAGAGCACCATTTTACTTTAAAGTTGCCTGTTAGGGAAGTAGTACTTCTCATGTGTTTCAATTCACATTTTCAATTATTGGAGGAGTAAAGAGGGTGGTCAGCAGAACTGCCACCTTGGGCTTCCATGCAGTACATTATAGGCCTTTCAGTCTGACTTTGGTGCCAGGGAAGGTCGTGGATCAGATCTTCTTGAGTGTTATCCTGTGGCACATGCACAGAGGATCAGGCCCAGCCAGCATGAAAGTCATTGATCTGCTGGACTATCTTCATCTGATGCCAAGGCTACCCACTCAGTGAATGAGGGAAAGGCTGCCGATGTTGTCCACCTGCACTTTAGTAAAGCCTTTGACCCTGTTTTCCACAACATTCTCCTGGAAAAATTGGCTGCTTTGATAGGTACACCCTTCACTTGATAAAAAAAAAATACTGTGTGGCTGAACCCAGAGAGTTGTGGTGAATAGAATTAAATCTGGCTAGCAGGCAGTCACTAGTGGTGTTCCCCAGGGCTCAGTACTGGGGCCAGTTGTGCTTAGTATCCTAATCAATGATCCAGACAAGGGCATTGAGTGCACCCTCAGTCAGTTCACATATGTCACCAAGTTGGATGGAAGTGTTTATCTGCTGGAAGGTAGAAGGACTCTGCAGAGGACCCTAGACAGGCTTGATTGGTGGGTTGAGGTCAAGTATAGGAGGTTCTACAAGGTGAAGTGGTGAGTCCTGCACTTGGGTCACAACAGCCCCATGCAGTGCAACCGGGCTAGGGAAGAGTGGATGTAAAACAACCCAGCAGAAAAGGACCTGAGAATTCTGATCAACAGTAGCTGAACATGAGCCAGCTATGCCCAGGCAGCTAGAAAAGCCAACAGAATCCTTGTTTGTATCCACAATAGTATGGTCAGCAGGACTGGGTGGTGATTTTCCCCCTATACTCGGCACTGGTGAGGCCACATCTCAAATCCTGTGTTCAGTTTTGGGCCTCTCACTTACAAGAAGGACATTGAAGTACTGGAGTATGTCCAAAGAAGGGCAACAAAGCTGGGAAAAGGTCTGGAGCAGAAGGGTTTTGAGGAGCGGCTGAGGGAGCTGAGGTTGTTTAGACTGGAGAAAAGGAGGACCAGGGACACCTTATTGCTCTGAAAGGAGATCGTAGCCAGAAGGGGGTCAGTCTGTTTTCCCAAGTCACAGAATGAGTGATATTACCCACAAGTTGCACTGGTGAGGTTTATATTGCATATTAGTCAAAATTTCTTCACTAAAAGGGTTGTCAAGCTTTGGAAAAGGCTACACAGGGAAGTGATTGAATCACCATTCCTTGAATGTATTTATAATATTTGTGGTGGTCCTTGTGGACATGGTTTAGTGTTGGACTTGGCAGTGATGGGGTGGACTTGATGGTCTTAAAAGTATTTTGCAACCTAACTGATTCTATGATTTTATTCTATGGATTGAACTATTACTGTAAATAGTAAACTAGTCCTTTTTATTTTTTTTAGGAGTCCCTCTTTTCTCTTATTTGATCTGTCTGTTTTTCTGGGGAGTGATTAATTTACCTGTAATGAGGAACGAAAGGGAAAATACAGGAGGTGGGAGGGTAGGTGTACATTCTCTTCCTCTTCTCTGGACTCATCATGCTCTCTCCAATCTTCTCTCTCCTTTTTATCTGTTATTCTTATTACCTATCTTACTTATTTTTCATGGCTTCATTAATAAGTGATGTTTATACTTCCCTGGCTAACATATTCATATATATTTTTCCCCCAACATATATTTTTTCCCCCCTTTCATTTCATTTTCTCCTATCATTGTCCAAAGTTGTAAATTCACTTCCTGTTCTCTAATCTGTTCCTCTTCCTGTCATCACTTTACTTCAAGCTTGCTCTATGCCCTTCCTCAGCATTTTTAAAGTGCATAATTTTCTCACCTCTTCTCATCTTCTTTTGAAGTGTTATACCATATTCATGCAGCAGGGGTGTTCAAGGTGGAGACAGGGGTAGCAAAGAGGCTTTTATCCCCATAAAATGACAAAGCAGATGGTTGTCTCTAAATGTATGTGATTGCACCTGAAATCTCTTCTTCCTGGGAGACCAATATGGTTGAGAAGCACACTATGAAAACACTGAACATACAGTCCATCAGCAGTTTACGCTGTTGCTTTTAGATGTGGGCCATTCTGGCATTTTAAAGGCAAGATGGAGCTATGTCAAGTTAATTCTTAACACACAGTAGTTTACTTTCAGACCTAATAAACTATAAATTGTTTGCTTTGTGTCTTGCAACCTAAAAAGTATTACTACCTTAAAAGTTATGTTCTTTTCCAATGGGAAGAAAAATAGGGTGCATTACAGGAAGGTCAAGAAAGAGTTTAAAGAGGAAAGAGGGCAATTAATAGAACCAAAACATTATTTCTCTTGCTGAAAGTATATTTAAGAAGGGGAATATATCACAATAATCAACGAGGTTTTTTGCCTTCAGCCTGTCTGAGGCCATGTGGTTTGGAGATCTGATCACTAGTCCGAAAAGGAAAGGCTGTTTGCAAGATTTCCGGGGTGTTTTTTCCTGGAAAAGGTGAGAGGACAAAAGCAGAACTCTATGACATACACTTTATGCCTTGTAAGGAAAGTATTCATCTGTCTTATCTGCCTCTCTCTCTCTCTCTCTCTCTCTCTCTCTCTCTCTCTCTCTCTCCCCCCCTTTCTTTCTTTCTACATGCATAGAGATCCATATGTTTCAAGCTGTCACTAAATTGATTTAGAGGCAGATTTTTTTCATGTACTACTTAGTACTGATTGGGTTAAAAATGCAATATTCAATATATGGTTTAAACCAATTGAAATGGATTTTATTTGTTTTGCTCTTTCACATTCACTGTTCAGTATTTTATGGAGTTTTGCATGGTATTTCCATCAGTAATAATAACATTCTGACTACTTGGAGACAGAACAATGCCAAAGCAGAAGACAGTGTTGAAAATGCAAATAGCATTTTGTAGCAATCATGCTTGCTTAATGCACCCCCCAACATTTTGGTGTATGCAGAATCCGTGGAATCTTCAAACCATTTCTAAGCACATATTTTGGGTGAGCATGAGTAGCTGGCTCTTTGTTGTATAAATAAGTCATTATTTTCTCATTTGTGTTTGTGCTGTCTTCCAGTACTCTTGTTTTCTTTAATAGTGTGAACTTTGTTTCTCTTTAGAAATGCTTCTTCCATTCAATTTTCTTTGCAACAGGTTCATTGGGCAGTACTTTGCCCATTTTTATTATGTTCTGTGGTGGGGTTTTTTTTGGTTGGTTTTTTTTTGTTTTGTTTTTGGTTTTTTTTTTTGTTTGTTTGCTGGAGTGTAACTAAAACAATGTTCTGATTTAAATTGACTATTAATAACCATTATTTACATTAATTTGCACTTGTAATAGCATCGCTAGAGGGCAGTATTGATTAAATTAGGCACACTCCAGTGCTCTTTGGAAACTTAACTGCAGAAAAGCCTCCAGTACAAACATCTTTGCATTTTTAATACATGGTCATGCCTTTCAAGTCCATTTTTCATTACATCTTGAACATAAAAGTAAAAGTAATCTTAATCACCATGTATATTTGACATTCTTGTTTGTAACTTTAATGTGTGTAAAAGAACACATTAAGGAATTCTGTGATTTTTATGAGAAGGAATGTGCATGAAGCTTAGTGGAAATTAGATGGCATTGATGTTATTGTAAACTATAATTTATTAGAAATAATTATTAAAGCATAACATTATTATAATAAAATATGCTTTTTCATATGTTTTTTTCTTAGGAAAAATGCTGTGCAAAATAAATATCTTCTAATTTATTAACTGTCTCCTTGAAAAACCTCAGTACAGTGTATTTTATGATAATGGACAGCAAAGACAAGCAGAATTGTAAATTAAAACACTGACTCATTTGTTCTTATTGATTTACAGGTCTCCTGACAAATGCAGCAACACAGAATCCTCGTAGGAGTGGTTTAGGCTCTCTGTGAGCTACTTAACTTAGTCAAGTTTCACTGCTGTTGATCATCATCTGTTATATGTCATCAACTCAACTGTCTGTTTCTCTGTATCTCATGAATGACAGCATAATTCCTCTGCATTATGAGCTAAAGTTTGTTCTACCATTCTAAGGATCACTGGACTAAGGAATATAGAAAAAGAGATATGCTTGGGCATTAGCAATACAAAAAAGTTCATGGTTAACATTTCATCTGCGTTATACACCACTGCTGGACTTGCTGTTACCTACATGTTTCAATCCGAAGAGTCTGCTACAATGAAGAGTATCATCCCACTCAGCCTTAGAGAAGACTGTTTTGCCTATGGGAGAACACTGAGGTGCAAAAGAGAAACTCTTCTTGTGCCCTAAACTGTCTGAATTTCTTTTATTTTCTTATACTTTCAGTATTTACAATAGACCAAAGAGCAAAATCTATTTTAAAGTGGACACAATCTTACTCTTAAGAGAGTTATGTCATTAAATTGAAGGTCTCCACAAAGACATGATTCCAGCTTTCACAAAGCTGAAATGTTGTCCAGCAGAAGTCTTTACGGAAAGCTGAAGTAAAAACTAACTCAGAGACCTGCTCTTGAAATGCCATGTTCAAGAGAACATAATGGAGCACTGAGAGAAAATGACCTATGTTTGAAAAACTTGGACAAAAAGAACACAAACTGTCTACACAGCACCTTTATTCCTCTGTACTTAGATTGACTTTCTCGTACTAAAATCATTTTCCGTTTTAACCAGTTAAACATGACTCTTCTACAGTTCCATTTTTGATAGTTAAAGTTGGATAATACAGTATTTGCAAAGAGCATGTTTGGTCATCTGTGGCCTATGTCTCATCTGATACACCATTTAGCACCAGAAAGCAAATTAAAGAGAAAACAAAAGTAACACTTGTTTGAAAGAGATCATTAAATGTATTTTGAAAAGCCTAAAGTTATATATTTAACAGTTTTTATATGTTGTATATTTGTAGAAAATCCTATTTAACAATTAACGTGATAACTCTGACAGTCATGAAAAGTGGTTCAGAGTTAAGTTGTGTTTTATTATTACTTCAGTTGTCTCTGAAGTGACCGGTGTCGTTTGCTTTCTTCCATTGGGACATTCTGGATGTAAAGCATGACCAGAGAGGACTGTGTAGAAAAAGCAAAGAATAATGTTGTTTATATTACATAAATGCATTCAACCATTGCACTGTTGGAAGGCATTTTTTTATTTTTATTTTATTTTTATTTTTTTGTCTTTATGTACTGATAAAAATAGAGTGTAAAATATTTTACTCATTGCTCTTCATAGCAAGGCTTTCCTTCCTTCCTCCCTCCATCCCTTCCTCCCTCCATTCCTGCCTCTCTTCCTTCTCTTCCCTACTTTTATGTAAGGGTCAATTTGAAGCCTATTCTTTGATCCCATTTTCAGTGTTTTACCTCATTGTTAGAAATCCCACTTTTTTCAGCGTTATTGGTTAGTGAAAATTTAGCAAAGACAGCATAGACAAGGGAGAAATTATGATAAAACAGAAACAAAACCTTGCTCCTTTTACTGTACCTTTTGGCATATAAGTTTAGTACATATTGGTATGATACAATCAACATGGGAGCTTAATTTCTTCCTGGCAAATGTATTACGGTTTCAAGTATACTACCTAATACTGCAATTAACTTTTAGTGTTATGCTAGTTCTATTCTACTAAAGAAAAAGATATAGAGATTATTCAAGTGACCATAGATGAAAGGTACAGAAATGAAAAGTTGATTAAAGAATTTTTTAAAGCCTACTCAAACACTGAGGCTTATCTAATGCACAGGTTTCAGGAAAATATGAACTATGGATCATTTTGTCTTCAAGCAAAATAAATATATACAAAATTCTTATTTAACCACAGGATTTTGACCAGTATCAAAGTAGCAATTAAAGCCCAGCCACTTGTAAAGTGTTATGGACTGACTGCACTATAAATGACCAATGTCAGGTTTAAAATGTCATGCAATAAATGATGGTAAATAGATTTACTGTACATGTAGACCTCAAGAGCCAGATCCCTCACTCTACCAACTCTCTGTTTTGATTTATTTTAAAGGGAGCTTCGTAGCCTTATTTAGTAAACGCAGAAAAAATGAAAGATGTTGCATCATTTTTGTTGCTTTACAGTATTCAGTTTTGTGTTGGTTCAGCTAAATTATTAAAAATAAAGAAAATCCTTTTATAAGTGAGACTTGTTCCCTGAGCATGACATCACCAAAGGAATTTCACCAGATGATAAGAAAGGTAGGAACACAGAGAGGAAGATGGTATTGGAAATTGAGGACATGAGCTGTGTTTTGAAGTTTTACCCTTCCATTTTCATGTCTTGGGTATGTTCATTTTGGTGTGTTCAGTTACAGATCATATTATGGTCATTTATTTTCAGGAAAATGGATCTTCTAAGAGCAAGAGAATCTAAGAATGGACATCTGAAATATTTACATCTAGAATCATACAATCCAATCAGTTCTGAATATGCAACCTTATGTCTTTGTTTTCTAATTACGTTAAATACTCAAAAAAGGGTAGATGTACATGGTTATAAGGTCTACTCTGGATAAGAACTATCAAAGAAAAAAGATTCTGATTACTCTTCAGTGGTGCGTTCTAGTTTCTGAGTCTCTTGTGTACAACAGACACTTCAAGGCACTTAAATTGTGTTTTGTGGTTTTCCGTCCTCCCCCAGAATGTATAGTTTTAAACAAACAAAATATACTGGCTGCCTTTGTCACTGTGAATTACTACTCTAAGAGCAGTGGTGAAATGTTTCTCTCTCAGGAACAATATGTTTTCAGAATATTGTGAACTTTAATTTTACAAAACTAAGTTACATAAAAAAAAAAAATTGCTTGTTTCTGAAAGTATTTTATGTGCCTCTTCCAAAGCAGAATTTGAAACACAGAGGGTAATGTCTTATTTGAATGCTATTAAATATCCATCATTTCTCATTTTGCACACAAGTAACTTTTTCAAAACATGCTTGAAAAGGAACAGAATAATACATTAAAAAACATAATACACTAATAAAAACAACCTCCAGAAATGCAGTAAACCTTCAAAAATTTTTTGAAAAAAGCTTCTATGTAGGTTTCTGTTAGCCTGGGCAAGGATACATTTAAATATTGCTTTTAATATCTGGGATATCAAATGGAGCAAACATTAGTACACTATAACAATCAATGTGACACATCATGCACCAATTTTATAATTATGCTTTTAGCCTTTTTTTTTTTTTTTTTCCAATTCATTTCTTCTTAGCAGCAGCTCAGGTTTTATGTGGTATTCTCAATCATTTACTTGTTTACTGAAATTGTACCCATGTGCTGTTGCATAAATCTTTAACCCAGGCAGTTACTATCTCATATAGCCTGCTCATCCCAATCCTGATTACTAATTAGAGTTTTGAGAAGAAAATAAAGAATTTAACACTGTCTGAAAAGCCTCTATAGCTGTGAAGAACAGCTGAACTAGAAGGTGGTAAATGATTGGATGACAGAAAAATCATAGCACTGAATGCTTGGGGAGCTGAACTAGTGGAAAGAAAAAATGAACAAGCCAGCAGTGGATGTAGCACAAGAAGACAAAAAAACCCAAAAAAAGCAAAAAAACCAAAACAAACAACAAGCAAACAAAAAACCGACCAACAAAAAAACAACAAAAAACCAAACAAAAATAAACAACACAAAAAAACCTCCAACCTAAACCAAAATTGAAATATCTCTTATACTTAATCAGGGGAGAAAACCACACCCAGCTCCAGCACTTTCATCACATAAACTTACATATATGCAGTACCTTTTCCAATTAAAAAAATACATAAAAAGGCATTTCCTTTTAAACATCTTTGTATGATGTATACCAAGAATCACATATACATGAATAACAAACAAAGTCAGGAATGGCTTGACTATTTTTTTCTGACATCACAGAATTGATCCTACATTGAAGTAATGAATCTCTCATATTGGGCTTAAGCAAATAAAGATGGACAGAAATCACAATATTCTACTTCAGCTTTCAGACTGGGGCTTGAGTAGAGAAAGGAGGTCAAGAAAGAAATGGAAGGAAAACAACCAAGACCAGAAAAAAGTAAAATTTTTCATTTCAGAGTATGTAGTGTTTAATAAATGCTTTTTAGTATTCAATACATGGTAGGGGAGTCAAAAGGAGTATTATTTGAAACAGTGAAATATGAAAAGAAACATTATTTTAACTGCAAAGATGAGAATGTTACTGATAATGATGGTCTTCTTTTGACATATAAATTCCATTAAACTTAGAGAACCATGGGTAATATATAAAAGGTAATTCTGACACTGATTAAAAATAAACTCAAAACTAGGAACTAAACTAAAAAGTGGAAATGGCAATAAGCCAGAATAGATAGTGACTAATACTGAGCAATTCTGTGGGAGGATCGACACAAGTTCCTGTACTCCTTCTGACTATGAATGAAATATGAATACTGAGATTGCACAGTTTGTTAGTGTCAGTAAATTACACAGATTAGTGAAGATATGGGAGGCATATGAAGACCTGCAGATACAAAATGGAACACTAAATATTATCAGAAAATGGAAAACTGAAAATCAGGAGTGTCAATTTATCATTTCTTACACCATCAAAGTAATTGTGGCTTCAACTATGTCAGATTTTTGGAAATATGTGAAAAAGGACTTCTGCTCTTGAAATAGATCCTAATGTTGGTTTCAAGCTACTCAGTGCCTAGGCCAAGTCACTGGTTTCATATGGTAATCCTATGTTAGTTATGCCTTTTCAGAGCTCCAGCAAGCCATTAGAGGACCCTTACAATATGTACCTGTAATCACAAAATACAATGTGCTCGTGGCACTGATGTCCTCCACATCTGGCTTGGACAGACCATGCCCACAATTTTCTAAATTTGATGTTACCATTATTAGGCAAGTGAAAGTGACACTAAAACACTACATTGTGCTGCAGTGATGCTAAAAGGCCTGTGTAAATGAACTAAGTTGATTAACATATAATCAAACCCAATTTTCCTAAAAGTATTAATAAATAGAATGCAAAGAACAGCTACAATAAAAAACCCAAACACATAGGGACTGTTAATGTAAACAAACACACAAACAAAACCTACACCAAAATCTTGAATAAAAAAGGACCATTTATGCAAAGATGTTTATTTAGGAGTAAAAACTCCAAAGGTATTTATGTTAGTACAGAGTCTGACATAACAGAAGGAACAATGTTAGCATATACAGAGAGCAGTTTACATTATTTAAGGAGCTTGAGCACTATCTCAAAACCATTCTATAAAGCACTGTGAGCAAGTGTGTGTCTTCCTTCACTGCACTGGAAGAAGCTGATGTATACATTTCTAAGTTCCCAAAAATGGGACAGGTGGTTTAGCATGGGTTCTCACACAGGCATAACAATAGATGTCACCCACCTCAGGTAGAGGCTATAATGACAGTTGTTTTTGTTTTTTTTTTCTGAATTGTGAAGGTGCTACAAAAAGTGGGTAGTAGAAGCCTGATGTGTTTGTTAATGTGTTTGTACATTAACAGCTTGGCTGTTAATGTACAAACACATTGCACAAAACAGCTCACAGACCCCCAGTGGCAGTAAAGATGGCCTTCCCCGCATGACTAAAGCAAGTGCAAGTGCAAGGGTCATATATTTCTTCCTGTATATGCAGACAGTCTCCACCTGGATAGATGAAAATTAATGTGGCTTCTCCTGTCTACACTCTCCGTTCACTTCTACAAAGATGTATTTAAGCAGACTCCAGAGCAGAAATTCAACATGGACTGCACCTTTAAAATACACAAGCCTAAATGATGTGCTATTAGAAAACAAATGCATACTGGTGCTTGAAGATAATTATGTTTAATTTGACACAACTTAAAAAAGAAAATTTTGCTTTTTCAGAAGTCTTATCATTCTTTTACTGTCTTGTCCAAAAAGTCTAGATAGATGCACAGCAAAACTTGTTGACTTTCTACTTACTTGTAAAGATGGCTCAGTCTAAAAACAAGCTTCCAAAACCACTATTTACATACAACAGTATTTTTCTGTGCTGCAAATCAGTTCTTCCTATAGAACAAACATGAACCAGAGGTAAAAATATTGGTATTTGTTCCATTTTTAAGATAATGCCTAAGCTTATATTCATAATTGAGAAGTTTCCCAAGTTTAAACGTTTAGTCACTCAATTAAATAATTGAGGTCTGTGTCTAATGATGCCATCTCGTGACACCTGTCATAATGATAGCTAACCTTGTCTGTTATTTTTCCAAACAAATATAAAAGCTATAAAGTGGCTTCATCAGATAATCAATACTCAAAAGAAATATTGCCATCTACAAGGAGGAGTATCTTGCTGAGCCTTCTAATGTTATTAATGAGAGAGGTACCTGTTTGAGGACAGACCTGCTTTCACTGTACCTTAAAAAAAACATCCTTGCAACAATGTACACCTCTTATAGGGGTATGAGGAATGTATTCATTTCTTAGACAGTGAGATGACTGCAGGGAATATTGCTTCACAGTGATCTATTGCTCAGCTGTAGCAAGGTTCCAAGGCAATACTCTATTGCTATTTTCATTTTACTGAAAGGTTTCCCCTACTAGAGTGCATTGACCAATATTTCAGTCCTGCCATGAGCTAAACCAGCATTACTGCTGCACTGAAGTAATTAATTCAAAATATTAAAAAAATAAAATAAACATACATTTATTTATTAAGGAGTCCAGCAGAGAACTCTTACAGTGACAGATGACATTAGCCTATAAGCCTTTATAACTTACATGGTAATAAAATGGAGTTACATTTTTGAATTAAATTGATAACATGACCAAATCGATTTCATTAGTGTATCTGTCATATTTGCTGTTAATGATGGCTAACAGTGGAATAGAAGCTGACAACAATCCCTGAAAAACTGTGCAGATCAAAACTATATTATAGTGGCATTCATGAATTTTAATAACCTTTTTTATCATGAATTTTGAACTCCCTTTTTAAATTTGAACCTCACAAGAAAGGAGAATCAAACTTTCTACAACTGTCTCAGATCCTATTATTTCTATTGTTACAAGTTAATAGGCTCAAGAATAGAAGACATTTCCACTAACTAAAACAAACAAAAAAAAAAGGTCTCGCTTTAGAGTCTCTTGTGAGTGGTTATAGAGGAATGGATGTTTCTTTGCTGCTAAAGGGTTGACATCAGAGTAATTTCTCCTGAATGACTAGAGAGTTTTAGGACACCCAAATTGCTGTTTAGAAGTTTGTTTGTGGAAGATGCTATTTGTATTAATAGACATTGTTACTCTAGTGTGCAACTCCCTTTAATGATAATGGAAGTTCTGTAAAAATCTACAGGACAATATGTGTACTGCCAGGAAACATCATAACTCTCTAATTCCATTAGCAGGGCTTAAATAAGTGTGAGTAAAAAGTGTTCAGGTATTGAAATGCTATACCTTGCAGCACCATTTGAGAATATCAAAATGCTCTTACGTAATGAAACACCTTGATCCCTCTGCTACCTGAAAATGTGGTAAGATACTAAATACGTGTCAAATTAACTGAAAGACCAAATGCTCTTTCCTATTTCAAGGCCCTGAATACAACATCTTTCTTGGGTTAAAATTGTATGAAAACAGATAATTAAAAGGAAAACAAAACTGTGGGATAATCTTGGCACAGGTAAAGGATAACTTTATCTTTACCATTTTATTAATAATTTTATCT